ACAGTTTCACTCACACATGTTCTTTCCTGGGGCTCCTTTTCAGCCCGTTTCTCTGCCCCCCAACCAGGCAGAGGGATCCCAAGGACCCTGGGGCTCAGGTACAAGTTAGGTTTTTGGCTCAGATCCTTCCAGAACAAAGGCCACACACCCCTCCTGTGCCATGGAGACGGACATACAAATGTTTTCAAGTTCAAGTTCAGGGGGACGTCTGACCCAGTCAACATTTCGTCAAACCAGGGACAAGACCTTAGAGACGACGGCGCAAATCAGCCCGTGGTGAACCCAGGCACGGTCATGATCGTGAGGCCGTGGGAAGGAAACGACTGTGAAGCCAGTGCTGACCTGGCAGACACACCCAGACTTCCGGTGTAACAGAGGACCCACGGCAGGCTTGGGGGGATGGCTCGGCTGTCAAAGGCTGGGTTCTCAACCAAAACTATGAGAATACCCCACAGCACCTCCTCTGGGAAGTGCTCACCGGACTGGGACCGTGACCTCTGACCTTACAGGCTCCCTGGCACAGCTGCCTGCAGGTTTGGGCTGGATAGTCTCCCGGGAAGGTTGTGTCTTCTGGGTGTGTCCTTTGCTTTGCAGGTGAGGGTGAGACGTCTAGAGGGAGGGGCAGAGTGGCCCGAGAGGAGCCCAGGCTTCTTGATGCCACACCCTGATAGGGCACCTGGCTTCCAATTCCCCATCAGAGAAGTGTATCCGAGAGATACGTGACCTCTAACCTCAACCCAAATCACATGGGCACCACACACACCTTACGAAGGTACGAGCCTTCAAAGCACCTGAAAGTGCCACAGGTCACCAGCCCTTCCAAGCCCAGATCTGCGGACGACAGGAACGACAGCATGGATCCTTCCCTCCAGTAATGGAAGCACAGACCCACGGCCACAGAAAGTGGCCCCCACACTGAAAAATGTCCCCTTTCTTTCTAAACCTTGTATGCTGAGGACGAGACCCACAGCCTTGTACACAGCAAGCTCTACCGCTGAGCCTCATGCCTGAGTGGTGAGGAAGGTTCTAACTGTAGATCTGGCTGAGAGAGGAACATAGATCTTAAGTCTATTTGGTCAATTCAAAGCAGACTTCAGTCGATGAACACATGCAATTAACCCGACCGCATGCTCTCACCAGGGCATTGCACAGGCTCCGTGGTTAGCACCGAGAGACACGGGGAGAGCCTGTCATCAGAAACAGTGCCAGCCTGCATCATGACCCGCCTGGGGTGGGCACAGCCCTCTCCACCATACCTCTGTCTTTGACCTTAAGGGTTGGGTGGAGGAGAAGAAGGAAGAGGAGGAGGAGGAGGAGGAGGGAGAGGAGGAGGATGAGGAGGAGGGAGAGGAGGAGGAGGGAGAGGAGGAGGAGGGAGAGGAGGAGGGAGGAGAGGAGGAGGGAGAGGATGAGGATGAGGAGGAGGGAGACAGGAGGAGGAGGGAGAGAGGAGGGGGAGGGAGAGGAGGAGGAGGGAGAGAGGAGGAGGAGAAGAAGGAAGAGAAGGAGGAGGGGGAGGAGGAAGAGGAGGGAGAGGAGGAGGAGGGAGAGGAGGAGGAGAAGGAAGAGGAGGAGGAGGAGGAGGAGGGAGAGGAGGATTACCTGTAAAACTGGAGTTGTCTTTTGGGACTTCCATACCGAGTACTTCGGATAGCAATGGAGGAAAGGGGAAAGGAGAGACGAGAGTACGCAGTTGGCATTAACCACAGGCAGGTGCAAGCTCAGAATCACCATTATCCCGCAGCCCCGACCCGCCACGCATCTCCATCCCTGACTCCGTCCAGGCTAACTGACCAGGCTCTGCCAGATGTACCAGCCAGGTACCAAATGCTCTGCAGCAGCGCCACCCAGTGGCCAGTGAGGCACAAGTCTGGAGCCTGTTCTGGTCGTGGACCGGTCCAGAGGTGCCTAGGCTTCTTCCCCACAGGAGACTCTGGGTGAGCGCCTGGGTTTTAATAAGCTTTAGATCATGCTTTACAATATGCTTTAGAATTGCTCCAAAGCACCCTTACAGGATGGTCCGAGACTCTGGGGCCCTCCCCAGGACAGACACCTTTTCCCACTGGTTTCCACAGACACTTGCAACGGCTCGGGCTCCAGCCATTATCTAGAAATGTCTGAATTCCCAGAATATCCTGGCTATTGGGGTCCCATCCAGCCGTGGTCTTTCAGGGTGGTGATATAGGCTTTGGGTTTCTATGATGGGTCCGCAGCCAGCGGCTCTCACCAGTGCCCTCTGCAGGAGGCCTGATGTTCAGAAAGGCTGACTCACAGAAGGTCAAGATTGCCCTCTGAGAGTCTGGCTGTTGCGGGCCTTTGGAGTGGGCAGGTGACAGCTCCCTGTGAACTCCTAAAGAGCTAGGTGGGACACCAGCGTCCACCGAACAGTGACGAGCACAGGAGGAGAAACGGAAGCGAGGAGGGGACCCCAGGCACTACTGAGCCTCAGTCAGGAGTCAGGGACCAGGAACAAATCTATTTTGGAGCAGTGCCATCCAGAAAGTCTCTATACAGGCTTTGAAAGATTCAGTTCTTTCCCAGGGGACCTGTAGACCTCTGTGAACCCTGCTTGAGTCCTTGTCCTTGCTCCAGGGGAGGGTGGCTGCGTCAGGGACTCCTCCTCAGAGGAGGCCTAGGTGAGTTACCTGTAGATCATTCCAGGGGAGCCTGTCTGCCGCAGAGAGAGTCGAGCCGGGGACCCCGTGGTTGATTCTGGATACATGGGGCCGGCCTCACTTATCCAGACCAGCTTGCCTTTTCACAGAAGGGAAATTCTGAAAGAAAACGAAAGGGCAAAGGGGTGGTGGTTCCAAAAGACTGGGCAGGTTTGGGCCGTATGAGCTGCCATGCCTCCTCAGTGGACTGCCCCACGGACTCAAAAGGGCTGCTGTGGAGGATCCCATCCCTCTGCCACACGTCCCAACCCCACAGCTCACATGAGGCACAAAGGTCTGTGGACTGCTTTGTCCCCTCTCCTGTCTTCGCCTCCCAGGAACTCATCTTTATACTTCCTCTTGCTCCTGACTCTACCCCACAGCTGCTTCCTGTGCCGCCCTGATGTTTAGGACGTTGGTTTGATGCCCTCAATGACCCCTGGATGCTGGGATTCCCCTCCATGTGCAGAGTCCCTCCCCTGAGCATGGCTGGACGCAGTGACTCAATTCTGACCAGGATAATGTAGCTAAGGCGATGGGTTGTCATTGGAGTACCCGGGTCGTGATTTCTGAGCTGACTCCCCTGCCAGCTCTGATGAAGTAAGGTGCCACGTGGTAGAGGTTCCCGTGGCAGAAGCTGAGGCCTCAGCTCAAAGGCCAACCAAGAGGTGACTTCTCAGGTGACCCTGGGGGCTTGGACGCTGATTCTTCACCTGCCCATGAATCCTGGCCCTGGCCAGCAGCTCATGGGCCCTAAGCTGCGCTCAGCCACACCTTCTGAACTCCAGACCCTCCAACACGTGCTGTAGGAAACACGCTGCTTTTGCCACTACATTTGTGGTCACTGTTACAGCGGCGGTGGGTAACGGTGGCCAGGACCTCCCTCCTTCCCTCTGTTCACCCTTCCATCGACCCCTCAGAATCCCCCCTGCCAGCCTGGAGCGCAGCCACCGGCCCGTCATCTAGGCCCTGCTCAGTTTCCTAACTGCTCCTGGGTCCCTCTCAGCTCCACTCTCCTGGCTCCGCTAGCCGCATGAACATCTATTTCAGAGGGCACCTTGTCAGGTGGCCCCCTTCCCTACCTGCTGTTGCCTCCAGGCTGTGCTCTGCCCATTGGTGCTCACCTGAGCCTTTGTTCACACGCTTGGCCACCTATCCCTCTGCTAACAGGCCACACTCACGCCTCTCACAGCCTCCAGGGCCTGTATGTTGACAACTCCTTCACCCAGCAGTCACCTTTGGGGCGCCCTCCCAGACCCCAGGCTGTTCTAACAATCTGTCTGCAGGTAGGTCTGGTTGTTCCAGCTTATCTGTGGGAAGTTCCAGAAGGCCTTGTTAACTGCCATGCCCCTGGCCTTACAAGGGCCCAGATGAAGGTCCCTGATTCCAATTTGCCATGGGCAAAGTGTTATTTGGGATTGGCAGTGACCCCCTGAAACTGGAGGGTGACACTTAGCTAAACAGGCCATTTTGTTTTTGTTTGTTCAATGTTTCCCTTTCCTTAGAATCAAAACCTCTTTCAAACACTGTCTAACCCTGGCCAGCGTGGCCTCTTGGCGGTCCCAATGAGGTCTCCTCTGAGCTAGGGGCATGAACATGTGCCTGTTGGAAACAGGACAGACACCAAAAGCCGTGTGGAGCTGTCATGAGAGATGAGGTTGATGAGGGACCCTGAGGACTTTTACGAAACTTCATTTGAAATGCAATGATGAAATAATACAAATTCACTTCAGACATCAACAGTGATGTTGCCGATGCATGGCTGATACCAAGGTCTCCTGGCTCATTATGCAAGCTCCTGAGCTGTGATGAAGTGATCCTGAATGCCTCCCCGAAGCCCTTCAGTGTTCACTATTCCCACCAATCAACGTGTGTGTGTGTGTGTGTGTGTGTGTGTGTGTGTGTGTGTGTGTGTGCACAGAGGTGTCTTCTTCAATCATGCTCTGCCATATTCTTTGGAGACAGTGTCTCTCACTGAACCTGGAGCTCACCAGCTGGGCCAGACCAGCTGACCAAAGCGAGCCTCTGGGACTCTTGCATTCCAGTGCTGAAGTTAGAGGCCTGCACCACTGCCCCCAGCTTTTCTCTTCCTTCTTTTAAAAGAAAGGGTGTCATGATGTTACCCTGACTGACGCTGGTCTTGAACTCACAGACCCACTTGTCTTGCCTCCCGACTGCTGGGATTAAACGCATGCACAGCACACTAGGTCTTGCACCCAGCTTTTATGTGTGCCTGGGGAGCAAATTCCGGTCCTCATACTTGGGAGGCAAGCAAGTTACCAAAGCACCAGCTCCCCAGCTCTTATCTTTCTCTTTTACAATGTGAGTCCCTCAGGGCCACTGGTCTCCCGAGGTACCCATCGCCCAGGTCTGTGCAAGACTCTGCTCGCAGGTTCTGGAGCAGGATGGGGTTGCAGAACCCTACAGACACTGTCCTTCTGGGGTCTCAAGCTGGCAGGAACTTCACCTGTGCTGTGCTTCTCCTTGGAGAGTGTCTGGTCACCTGGCACTGGGGACTGTGAGGCTTCAAGGGCAGTCCCGCCCTGAGACCCATTACTGCTCACATTTTCCCTCTCTGAGGTGACTCAGAGGCACAGATCCCATCCGCTCACTCGAGTCACTAAAAGGCTGTCATTAAATTCATCTGGACACCATGAGTTCCTCAGTGAAGACAACTGGCTGAGCGCTGCTGGAGCCCACCTGTGTGAGCGGTGGGGCTCCCCATTCCCAACCTCCCACATGGTCGAGGGAGGGACACAGAGAGGCCATCACCACAGCAGAGTTCTGCTAAGGATCAGGCACAGGTCTGCCGGGGGTACAGCAGTCACCAGGGCCCATCCACGAAGGATGTGTAAACAAAAGTGTCAGTTCACAGGCCATGGGGGAGGATGGGAGGCAGGGGTCCTCACAGGCTTGCGGAAAGGACTGTGGTCCCTTCCACATACCATTGCAGCCTTGGCTTTCATGGAGACCAGCTGCAGAGCTATGGCCCTCAGAGATGGTTAATCTACAGAATTCTAGGGCAAGCTGTTCGTGTTGGGAAGGGCTCAAGGGATGGGGTAAATGAGAGTCTCTGATTCCTAGATGTGGATGGGGACAAGACCTGGCATGTTCAGTGTTCTTGGGTATCGGTGATGATCTGGACCAGGGACCTCAGTTTGAGAAGCCACTGGGTTGGAGGCTACTTCCTACAGCTGGAGCCGGAGGGCCAAATCCAGCCTGCTACCAATTCTTGTGAATAAAGTTTTATTTAATCATGTCATATTCATTTGCTGAGGGATGAGGCTGCTTTGGTGCAGGGTTGAGTAGTATCGACAGAGACCAGGATCAGGAAAGTCTAGAACATTCTCTTATCTGTTACAGAAGTTTGCTGATGCATGCTCTAGGCTGCTACCTCAACTCTTGAGGGGACAACTTCCTAGCTCCTTTCCAGTGGATTCTCTGAGCTCTGACCACTGTGGAAACAAGTCCCCAGGAGCCAGCTCCTCCAGACTCAGTGGCAGCCTCAACTCTCAGGGTATCTGCCTTCTCTCCCATGGCTCCTGGAAGGACTGACCACGAGTGACTAGTTTCAGGATCTCATGTAGCCCAGGTTGGCTCTGAATTTCTGACCCTCCTGCTTCCACCTCCAAAAGTTGGGATTATAGGTGTGGTGCTGGGTCAAACTCAGGGCCTTGTGCATGCCACGTAAACATTCTGCCAACTAAGCAACATCCCTAGCCTGATACGAATTCCATCCACCTGGAAAAGAACATCAAAGCAGAGTTTTCTCCTCAACAAGAGGAGTTCTACCCTCTGTCCTCTGCTTGAGGACAGTTCTGGACAGACTCCACTCTTCCTAAACTGATGCCTGCCTTATGTCGGGTCACGGCAATGTAACCCTCATCCCCCTTGGCTGCAAGACCCCATGCTCATGGGTTCTTCTCTGTCCTCTGTGGCTGTGGTCCCTGTCTCTAGACTGCCTGCGTGGATCTTGCCAAGCTCTGACTCTCAGGCTGCTCAGGCTCAGCCTCGAACCCTTGCGTTTCTCGGAACCCTGTTTCTGTCCTGGGAACCAGATATTTGCCTCCACCCTGCAGCCGTCTGTGGTCTCCTTTATGCATCTGCTGAGACCTCCTGGCATCTCGATGAAGAGGTGGCACACCCATGTCAGGCTCGTGTGTCAGATCCTGAGCTCTTGATCAGCCTCACCTGTGGTCCTGGTTTTGCATGGCCAGAGGACCAGCTGGCTCACCACCCTTTGTCCAGTGCCTCTCCTTTCCACATCCGGGCTTCACAGCAGCCTCCTTTCTAACTGGTCACCTGAGACTACCTTCATCCCATCAGCAAGCTCTTCCACAGGGAGCCAGGGGGCTTCTCCTGGAACAAGGCTTGGGTCAGCCACTACTGTGCTCACAACTTTCCTGCAGCTTCTATTCTACCCAGAGCAAAAGCCAAATGCCAGTTGAGACCTCTGGGCTGCCCACCGGCTCCTGGGAGACCTCTGGACCTGCTCCCAGAGCCTTTCTGATCTCACCCAGCAAGTGGCCGTCCTCTGCACAGCAGCACAGGCTCTCCCTGGGTCCCCAAGCTCAGCAGAGGCACCCCCTTCTCAGGACTCCTGTAGTCCTCTTCCACCTGAACTTGGCCTTTGACTCCAGAGGTCTACCGAGTGCCCAGGCCTGCCCTGGCTCTCCCTGCATACCTTAAGCTGCTAATCTTCTCCCCAAGCTCACTCCTTGTTTAGTCCCTTCCTGTGTGACTTTCCCCCTGGAATTTGTCACTACTGATATGCCCAAGGCTCACCCACTTTTCTCATTCCACAAAAGCCCTGTTGGTTCTGTGGAGGCTGGGATGAAGGGGTGCCTGGTGCTCCTGCAGTGCCCAGCGCTTGGTAGACACTCAACTGTTGTTGAAAAAATGGAAGACTGTGACCCAGCCTGCCGGAGATACAGCAGGAGGGGGTGAGGGCTGGGCAGCCCATGTTAGTGAAGGCAGCACACCTGGCTGTGGGCTGTGATGGTGACAGGGTTGGGACACTGCCTGAGGGCAGGGGTGGCCTTCTCTAGTACACAATGTCTGCTTTGTTCATTGGGGGGGGGCTCATAGAACCTGCGGGTGTGGGGATAACTGCTGCCACT